GGTGGGTGGGGGGAAGTGGAGAGAGGCTTTTACTCCAGTGTGTGTCGAGGAGGCTGGCAGTGAGGAGGAGAGCACCGAAGAAGATGCTGGATGCTGATACGGAGCTGCTGGCGTTTCACTTTCTGTAACACTGAAGCAGCTCTTATTGCGACAGGAAAAAAACAATACATCTGTGTGAAAGCCTCAGGTAAGAACAGACATTCATTTTAAAATGAGAAAAATTGTCTGTCTTTTTTAATAATTAAAATGTACCCTTATGTTTGAACTTTTTTTCAATTAAAATGTCTGGTTGGTTATAATAAGTCAATGTATCAGTAACACTTGATTGTCCTTCAATCATCAATGCTAATCTAATTATTATTAAAAATGACAACAATGCTTGGTTTAAAAGTGCATTTCTGATTTTCCTAAAACACCAATCTATTTCTTAACTATTTAAATTGAGAAACATTTTCACCTGACTACTTGTCATATTGCTCAGATATTTAAGTTTATTTCCTCAGAAAACCTCGGATTGCTGACGTCATTTGAATTACCTACTATGATTGTACGGTTCCAATTTACCATGAAAAAATATACCTTTTATTATTATTAAGGAGCAGTTAGCACAACTATCTATCTGTATTTCATTTAGTTTTATTTCCATTTCTATGATTTCATACTGAGCGACAAACATGTACAAACAAACAAAATGTATAAATCTAAACATTCAAATGATATATTCTGTATCTACAATACTGCAGTTTTCTAAGAGATTATGCAAGTGTTTCTACACGTTCTGTATGATTTCTTAGAGAGCATAACTTGCTTCATTAAATCATATATTCTTGTTTTTTGTTTTTAAATTTTTACACATCTATCAAACATACAAACATTTTTGATGCAGAACCCTTAACTTCAGCTTATGTTGACTCTCTAAAGTCCTCTATCAGCCTATATCTTTGCAGCTTACTGCCAACAAAGCCTATGCAGATATTTGTAGTAAACAACAATTATTCAGATAAACCACTTGGACTTGAATAATAAAGCTTGGCCGGACGTAGATAAGTGCCTGTTTTAAATCAATACACTATTACTTTTTCATTTATATTGTCCGTAATCTTAAAGCAATAGTTCAACATTTTGAAATATGTACTGATTCAAGTTGGAAGTTTGTGCCGGCAGCTTGTGAGCTTAGTATAGCACAAAAGCATTAAACAGAAGGAATAAAAACTAGCCTGACTCAAGTCTAAATCAAATAATAATGCATATCTAAAGCTCGCTTAATTAAACCTTATTTTCTTGTTTTTTATTTAAACAAGATAGTGGTCCATATGTAGACAAATCTGTTTGTCAGTGTGGCTTACACACGTTGGTAGGTTGATTTTGTTTTTCTGACAGAGCACACTGGTTTTACCCCGCTTTCTGTCTTAATGCTAAACTAAGCTAACTGAAATTTGGAGATACTGCATTGATATTTTCATCTAACTCAGCAAGAGAGCAAATAAAGATATTTAGCAAAATATCAAAACATTTTTCAAATAAGAGCAAAGCTTTTGTCTGTGCAGCCGAGAAGTCTTTCATCTCCATGTTATAACCAGTGGTCAGCTCGAGAAGAGCCCTCAGTACAGAGGAGGAGCTCACTGGCTAACATGTAGTGGCAGCACCATTTTCAAAGCTGAGATGGAAGGAAACGATGAAGAAAAGGAAGCTTGAATTTTCCTTGGTGTGTGTGTGAAATCGATTTTCAGTACTATAACAATCACTATTTTATTTGGTCCATCATCCTCTGCCATGATTGACTTTATTGAGTCCCTTTCTTCTTTCCCATGCTCCCTATAATTCCTGCTGAATGCTCCTTTTGACCCCAAATCAGCTGTATTGACTGTATTGTGTGAGAGGTGGGCGGTGGTGGATTATACAGGCTGCTGAGCACTCAGGTGCTGACTGATGTGGCTAATGTGCTTGAGCAGAAACGGTTCACTCCGACTCAACACCCCCTGCCTGCTGAACTCAGGGGAAATAATTCCTACTGTGGGTTTATTTTCTTGTGGGTCGGTGCTTTTCGAAATGTTAGCATTCAACACTTAATTGTCTCGAGTCCTGTTTTTTTAGTAGCAAACCAACTTAGTGGCAAAATACCTGCTGTCAGTTTAAGGTAGGTCAATGAAATGTAACACAGTCTGTTTTAAAGGGTACAATTTACAAACACATATTTATTTATGGATAGTCCACCGTCGTAGGACATGACTGATTTGAAGTGCAGTGCCAGCATCTACAGTATGTATGAAATTAAGTTGAAATTAGAGTTTCTAGGTAGGAATGCTGAATGGATGATGGTGCATATAATGTTCATGCAGATGATCCAAGTTGATGATCTCATTTTTTTTCCTTTTTTTTTTTACCTTAAAGGTGGGTTAAGTTTGAGAAACCGGCTCGAGATAGACTTTTTGTTATATTCCATGGAATGCTCTTAACATCCCGATAGCAATGAATATCTTAAGTGCTTTGACAAAAAATCCATAAAAATAAATTCATCTGTGGAAGCTGTAGCGCTGTAAAAAGCATGACCAATCATTTTTGCCGGCCCAGCTAAAATAACTGGATGGCCTACCTGCCTGTCAGTCAATCAATGTTTATTTATATAGCCCAATATCACAAATGTTACATTTGTCTCAGTGGACTTCACAGTTTGTACAGAATATCAGTATGACAATACGACACCCTCTGTCCTTAGACCCTCACATCGTACAAGGAAAGACTTCCGGAGAAAACCCCACAGTTTAAAGGGAAAAATGGGAGAAACCTCAGGGAGAGGAACAGAGGAGGGATCCCTCTCCCAGGACGGACAGACGTCCAATAGATGCCGTGTGTAAATTGAAAAGATAATACATTTGCAACATAGGTAGTCCAAATGTTTGGAAATGCATGTGTGTATAATAGGAAGATGAATCCACGAGGATATCCATCCAGGACTTATGATCCAGGACCACAGCCACGACTCAAGATCCAGGACTCGCGATCCATGACACAGGACCGCAGGATCATCCATGACTCCGGATCCCGGCGTATATAGACACCAAAAAGAAAGACATTTTGGAAGCTGGGTTAATCGGAACATGAGAGTACACAGGTATAGACAGAGAGAAGGAAGAAGTAAGATGTCCCCCGACAAACTAAGCCTATATCAGCAAAACTAGGGGCTGAATGTAATCAGCCCTAACTATAAGCTTTATCAAAAAGGAAGGTCTTAAGCTCACTCTTAAAAACGGATAGGGTGTCTGCCGCCCGAACACAAACTGAAAGCTGATTCCACAAAAGTGGAGCTTGATAAGAAAAGGCTCTG